ATTACACAGGGAATAAATATTGAACGCATGAAGAAAAGGAGGTGCAAAAAGGCATGGAAAGCCAAGAAACCAGGTGAAATCTGTCAATATTTAGAAATCCTGTCCCCTTTCAGTGCACATTGATATCAGCTGGTTTAATCCTAATTGATGACCAATAAAAAGGTTTCTCATTACCAAGGTGTCACACAAGAAGCATCTCATGATGGGAAACAGCAAAGAACTCACTCAAGACCAAATTTAAGGTTTAACCATTCTCTCCTTTACTCTGGCCCTAGGCTGTAGCCTAGGATAGCTTATGCCTTACTCCATCCCTGAGGCTAAGGTTAGTCTTGAATTTTTGCATTCATTCATTTAATTGTGTTCTCTCCACATTATTCCACTAGAGGAATAATATCAAGGATATGGGAGCTATAATGTTAGTTTTTCTCTTTAGCACCATTTTCTTTTTCTGTGACACTACTTTGTACTGCTTGGCAGTGAAAGAATGGGTATCTACCAGTAGACTCCAGTGGTAAAAGAAAGCTGGGTAGCATTAAGTCTCAAAGTAGGAATAATCCATTACAGCCGGGATGGTGGGCAACATTGTCTATCCTGAAAACTGCCGCTAAAAATGTAAATGAGATATTGCTACAATTTAAATGATCATATTATATTGTATCCATAAATGAAACTTCTGGAAATTGTGTCTTCATGAGGCCCCTAGATTTCGGGGGCCCCAGGCAGCTGCCTGCCCTTGGCTTATGGTCAGCCTCCCCCCTGCCTGGAAGCACAAGTAAAGCAGCAGGAGCAGTTCAGCTCTCATCAATGATTTCTGAACCACTCCCTTCACAGAGTACATGGAAGAGCTTTCTGACATAATGACATCTGACTAGACTTATGGTGACCACCAAAGCAACATTATAAATCACGCCTTCATGCTGACGTATTTCTGCCAACTTTGTCTTTACTTATATTAACTAATGAATAACTATTTTTTTCTCCATAGGAACCCAACCCTTTTGGGGTTAATCATTACTCATCTGTTAGAACCAGCAGAGAGTTAGAAAGACAAAACAAACATCTGACTATATAACCTTGGAAACCTTAATCTGATTCTGGGATATTTCATAGGCAAAGTTACAGTCAGCATACCAAGACTATCTCCCTGTTACGACTGCTTTAGTCACATTATGTTTATGGAAAGCTGTTTGAGTTGTTACGATCCCCAGTCTAGGTTTGGGGATCGCCAGAAAGGTAAGGGAAATTGAGAGGGGAAGACGAGACAACCAGGGAACAGGAAAGCGGAGCACGGGAAACAAAGGGATCTTTTTTGTAGTTTTTAATATTTTTTCACAGACACGTTAACAAACACGAGGCGCAACAAACTTCGGGAGTGACCCAGGCCAAAATAACCAAAACAGCTAACGCACACGTCCCAAACTCAAACTCTAAGGGTAACGAAAGCAAGAGGAAACGAAATGACAAAGACTAAGTCTAACTCCCTAACCAAAACAACAGTAAACACCACGTTCGCAGAAACAAAAAGGCAGTCACTCCTTACGCATGTAACAGACATGTACAGAAAACACACAGTCCAAAAGAACGGTATCCGAAGGGGCGAGCTAGAGATGGCAATTTCGGCACCCAGGATCGATCCGTTCCGAACACGTCCGAAACTTCTGGTTTCCGATACGGAGTTTACGAAATGTTTCGAAACATCAGTCACGTGACCGCTGTGTCATTGTTCACGGCAAGAGAAAAAAACTATTAAAAAAACCCCGGGAAAAAATCGGGGCTTGTTAGTTTGAGAGAGTAGTTTGGCGATCATTATTATTTGAAATCAAATTGTATTAGTGAAACAGGTTAGCAGTTAGTGTGATTTACGCATACATATAGTGAGGGACATATATATATATATATATACAGTATAGTTATAGTAGGTGTAATATCAAGCTTTTGCTTAGATTCAGTTAGAAACATAAATCAAAAAGCTAGAGTACGCATAGACAAATAGATTACATATACATACACTCACCTAAAGGATTATTAGGAACACAATACTAATACGGTGT